TTGCCATTAAATCACAAGTTCTATGATTTTTCTTTGTTGCAAAACTGGATTCATAAAATCCTATAAAACCAATTTTAATTATTAGTTCCTCAGAAATTAGAATTCTTTATTTATAGGGCGATACTTTCAACATTATATAAATTATTAAAATTGACTGCATCGTCCGAAATTCTATAAAATACTGATTGATATTGTTTATAAACATAAATGGAGGTAGCGGTGACGACCCAAATTGGACGAACTAAACAAATTGTGGCTAGTCGAGTGCACTCTATTTAACGAATATTTAAACTCGATTTTCTCGAAAATGGAGCCCTATATTACAAAATTTTATACATACATTTCCTCTTAGTTTATGTTTTATCCAATTCTCCATCTCTCTATCTTTTTCTCCCTCCATTATAGAATATATAAATTTGATTTCACTCTTTTATACATTCTTTCGCCCTTATTATTTAATATCTTAACCTACGTATTACCAGTGTACTATTTATATCAATGCTTAGTCAATAATAAAAAAAAAATTCTCTCATTTACATCGAGCAATTTCAATTGATAGAAACAAGTGATTCCCCGCAATCACTCGTTACGTGTAAGTAGACTCGTGGCGCGCATAATTTCCACGCAGCAATTTCACCCGCTCGTCGCTTTATTATTCCCGCGGAATCGATATTCGTAATTACGGCTGAAAAGTTGCCTCGAAATTATTATTGCTCCGGAAAGGTTCTCGCGGGCGCCTTTATCTTTATTTATATACGCGCGATGGTCGGAGGATTCTGCGATAAAACGAGACATTGTTCGATTATTCTATGCATATTTTACAATATCTCGTAGTTTTTCCATTCCGCGATTAGCAGGAAACGTAATTGCGTGCCAATCGAAACGAAAATAAGCGCGGACGCGGCGGATACAAATATTTCTAGAAAATAACTGCTACTTTCCTCTCTTTCTCGTTTCGTTTTTCTTTTTTCGTTTTTTTTTTGAACGCAGGCGCGTTCGCGTCGGTGAAATAAAAGCCCCGACAGCGAAGAAACGTTCGTATGTGATCGGTGGAAAATAGGAAATGCACTTTGATAAAAAATAATAACAATTTTATTCTCTGCACGAGTGCATTTCACGTGGAATTTCATGATCCGGAAATAAAAACAAATCTGTCACTGTTCTCTGTTGGAAGGTTCGATGCGATCGGTCGAATCGAAGTTAGAAATCTCTTCTTTAAAATTTTCGATTAGAAAATCAGATACTGGATTCTATGAATTGTACATTAAAATATATTTTTCCAATTTAGCGTATAAGTGAATGTCACTAAGAATATTTGAGGAAGATAAGTGTTCGAGGAATCCATTACCAAAAAGTAAATGAGTTACACGGGTGACCCGTTTTAATCGCTTTACGCCGTATAATTCGCGACTCCAGACTATTTTACGGTATAGTTAACCCAGAGAGCAGGTTAACATCGGAGCAGATAATTATACTGGTCTTCGGCGCGAGGGTTTCAATTACGATCTACTGGAATAACGTTTGCCGCGGCGTAAGTTGTAAATGAACACCCAATTAAATTCGTTCAATACGAACGTTACGCAACTAATCAGGCTTCTAATCAGCAATTTGCACGATAACCGAAAGCTTCCGTAATAGATGCATAACAACGAGAACCGACGAGAATCGCGCCTGAACGATTACGTTCCGTTTCAATTATTTCTGTTACTTCATTAATTTTTCACCGAGGTGCTAAACAAATTCTCAAAATTAAACATTAAAGAAAATAAATAATACTCTCGAATTTTAATAAGACTCTAAAAATAATTTTCTGTGTCTCCAAAAACGAAGTTTCATTTTCGTGGACAAATCGAGGGATTTGGTCTGTGATCTGGTAGTCGACGCGTTAATTACGATTAACGGTACAAAGAGCTCGTAAAAAGTCGAAGTTTGGAGAAACATTGAAACATTGAATGAATGATATATCAAAATAAACAATAAAATAACGAATTTTATTTGATCGTTTGCAGTGAATCCAATTTGGGACATCGCCATCGACGGTATCACGGCTTCGGGACGTAACACTCAAGATTGGACTTTGGGGGCGGCGGCGAAATGCATAATCGACGACAAGTCGGCTTTTCGTTTCAAATTCAATAGCAACCTTCAGCTTGGCATGAGCTTGCAGCAGAAACTCGACGCGAGTGTCACGGTGTCTTTGTCCTGCAACGTCGACTGCTCAAACGTGACAAGGGGCGGTCACAAAGTCGGTCTGGCCGTTGAAATTAACGAGTGAATAATTGCGGCACGCTCGGTGCCCGTTAATCTTTCTACAAAAAGCATTCTGTGATGTCTACGAATTTTGGGTGCACTTGTATTTCGAGCGTATTGTGATTGTTGGCATATTAAACATTTTATATCCATATTAAAACCTGCACTTTCATTTCGCCACTGGTCGCTTTCGAGTATCGATTCTTACCCCGGATTCAAGCAATCGATCCCACCGCTTGAAAATATTATCCAACTCGTTTCTAATCTCAACCACTTTTTAAATACCATCTAAAATTTATTTATTAGGTGTACAAATGAATAATCCAAATTATCTTAAGCAATTATAAAATCAAGTTTAAAGTCCATAGATTTTTCCGCTCTTTTGCGGTCATATAGTGTTAACATATAACTAGTTAAAATAAAAGATAGTTTAGCGAAAGGCCCAACATAACCTTCAAAAGTATTCAATTCAATAGAGTCGAAAATGACAACAGATAAGATGCATATCCGACACTGCATTCTTTACGAATTCCAACAAGGGAAAAATGATGCAAGAGCATGCGAATCAATTTGTTCCTTTCTCGTATGATGTGTGCGCATTTTGGTTTAAGCGGTTTAAAATCAGTAATTTGATTCTAATCGACAAGCAACGCCCTGGAAGCCCTCGGAAGTGCGACAACGATGATTTGGAACAACTGCTCGCTGAGAATGCGGCACAAACGCAAAAAGAACTTGCAGAACAGTTAGGAGTAACCCAGCAAATGATTTCCAAACGCCTACGTGAGATGGGAAAGATCCAGAAAGAAAGAAAATGGGTTCCGCATGAACTCACTGGAACCAACAAAAATCAACGAGTGGCAGCGGCAGATGAGAAGTGGATACTCTATGACAATCCGAAACGCAGAAAGTCATGAGTAAATCCCGGCGAAGCGTCATCATCGGTTGCAAAACCCAGTCGCTTCGGAAAGAAGGTTCTTCTCTGCATTTGGTGGGATATCAAAGGCGTGGTTTATTATGAGTTGTTGGAACAGGGTGAACAGTTACTGCGGACTGATACCAACATCAATTAATCTGCTTGAGTTAAGCATTGGAACGAAAACGGCCGTATACTGGCAAAAGAGAACGTCCATTGAAATTGTTGCATGACAACGCCAGGCCACATATTGCGTCCCATACAAAAGACACCATAATAAGTCTTGGCTGGGACGTCTTGCAGCACCTGGCGTATTCACCAGACATTGCTCCATTTCCAATCTGTGGATGAAATCCGAAAACGGCTTGACGACTTTATCGGGTCAAAAAACGTAAAATTTTTCCGAGATGGAATTCATCAGCTGCCTAAAAGATGGCTTGAAGTTATAGAAAGTAATGGTGAATACTTTGATTGAACAATTCAATTTACTTTCTTTTAAAATAAACATTGAATGTGGCTGAAAAAAATTGGATTATTCATTTGCACATCTAATATTGCATCGATATTAAACCTTTCATTTCGTCGCTTTCAAGTATGAATTCTTACCCCGGATTCAAGCAACGAGATTGATCCCACTACTATTCACATAGTTTCGTTCTATTTAAAATTTCTTTCTTGTAAATTAATTTCTAATCTCAACCTTATTTCAAGTGCCATCTAAAATTTATTTATTAACGCAGTAAATAATAAAAAGATACAAGCATCGAATTACAACAATAAATTAGTTGACGACGATGATGTTTTCTAGAAAATCATAGATTTTAATTTTTCAATCGTCGTGACCGTCTACATCCATAAATTTGCGTACGACCGATAACTATGCAGTGATTTGGCGTACGATTAAATTGCTAACATACGTTCGAAGAAGCTAACTGACGCGTGCTATGGATCACTAGTGTTCCATCATCATCGTTGATACACGTGTCCGTTAAATGTCACCGGCATGATTACAAATTCGTATATTACCGAAAGTCTGACTTTACCTATCTGTCTTGTTAGATTCCGTAATGCACTATAATATTTTACTTTAAATTCAAATAACATTTACACGTTATTCCGACAAACTATTCGAATGATCGAATGCTTCGCACAATGCTTCGTACATTGAACAACGGTACACCGTTCGATAAAAAACAAAATCTGCTCCGCGAAAGGATTTACTGCTTTACGAATAATTTACTCTCACCCGGTGTCCGTTCGATCATATTTTCCAATATTTTCTTTTAAGAGACTTACCGGCATCCGGTAGCATTCTTTCCAACTATTTTTCTTTTCCTTTCTTTTTGCGCCGTTTTCCACGGAAATAAAAGCAACAATCGATCGCACGGTTTAAAAAAAAAACCCTCAGACGAACGTTCCCCGAAGTGTATTACGGCCGTTTGTGTTTTGGAATGCGAGTGGCAGCGGAGCCGGAAATTAACGAAACAGGAACGTTATTGATCTCCGCTGCAAACGCGTGCTACCATTGTAAACGTAATAACATAGTTTACTCGAGCTTTTCAGGTGTGCGGATAATAATCTGTCAACTTAAAGGAGAAGATCCCGTTTCCAACGAATGGGTGTTTGGAACAAAGGGAACGCCGGGAATAGTAATCTCTGAGCAGCGTTTGGAATCCCGAAACGGGTGACGTTTCCAATTTTTATCGAGCAATCTGATCGATCTTGTTGCCAATATGTCGCTGAGAGCGACGTTTGTCCGTCTGTAGAGTCGTTGCACATTGGGTACGCTGTGAAAATAAAAGGTCAAAACGTGGAGTGCGCGTGAATAATGACTCACCCTGTGCCGTGGAACTGCTGGCATGCTACAGGTCCTCCCACGATATTGCCTGGGCCCGGGTCCACGTGGGCCTGCCGTCGAACCGGCAGGGCCAGCTGGACTGGTCGGACTGGGCCCGCCAGAGCTGGTCCCTGGACTTAAGTGAGAGGTGGACGACGCTGCCCCAGGACTTATCGCCGGGGTCCTCGTAGGACTTCTCGGAGAGGGCGACAGGTGACCCCACGGACCCGCCTCTGCTTGCAGAAACCTATTTTTCGCAAAAGAAATCTCGTCAAAATTGCTGCGCAAACATACAAGTTCGAAAATGGCTATTTTTCGATGCTAGAAGAAGATGAGACTTTATACAGGAAAACTTCTAGGAACGTTTTTCGAATATGTAAACAAAATTTATTTACAGGATGATCCATGCAACTGTTTCAAATGACTCGAAGAGCACTACGTCTGTAGGATTCTAGATTTTTTTTTAATTCAACGGTGCATGTGCAATTGAAGTAATTATATTTTTTATTGCACAGATTCATTCTAGGTAAAAAAATTATTATTATTGACGATCGCCAAAAATTGCCATTTTCGAACAACCGTCGTTGCAGTAATTTTGTAACTGGCTGAGACGAGCGTGATTACGAAGTGCAAACTGACGAAATTGCTGAGTATGTGCAAGGTGGTAGTTTCTCAAATTACAATTTATATGTATAATATGTTTCGAATTACCAGAACACATTTATCTTAAAAAAAAAACTAAATTTTGTTACCTTGTTAAAGTATAGAATCTTCGATTATCAAAATAAAAAAATGAAGGATGGGAAAGTGTACAACAGTCATTTACTATTTAAAAAATAAGCGACGAGAATAATTCCATCAAAAATAAAACTATATTACTAATTTCTAACTAAAGTAAACATCTTTCTTTCGATTACATTTTGTCATGGATATCGATTGCGTGTAAAAAATACCAGACTCTGCGTTACGATGTTCAAATATTGCCTAAAGCAACAAAAGCTACGGTCGCTAGCTAAATTCGCGAAACGAGAGTTAGCGTGAAAAGAAAATTCGCTTTACAGATAAACTTTTTACAAGACAATATGGCGCCGTATCGGAGATGCTACGCTCTTTTATTTATAGAAATCTCTTTCAAATTGGTTAAAAGACATTTGCATAATACAGCGGGAGTAATTTGAAAAGTTTCGAACTAATTTAACTTTCATGTCATAAAAGTGATTGAAGGCACAATTACGTAAATGACTGCGCAAGTATTGCCGTGTTAAAAGTTCGGAATTAAAAAAATATTCCTCGGAGCAATAATTAGACGCAAAAACTTAACTGTGTGATACTTTGACGTAAATAGGATCCCATTATTTTCCTTCGGGAAAGAAAAAAGTTATTTTATATATTTCTTTGGCCGTGAGTCCATATTTCTAATATTTCTTTACTTTATACATAAAAATTTTTATGCGAGAATCAACCAATCCACTTTTAGTGGATTTTTACCCAGAACCTTCTTAAATATTTTATCTTGAGGGTGACTAAAATGAGTCTATGGCTTCGATATATTTTCAATGATCAAGGAAACGATGTACAGGGTGTTCGGCCACCTGTGGGAAAAATTTTAATGAGAGGTTCTAGAGGACAAAATAAATACATGAATTTTTTTCTCGAAAGTGCATAGGATTTCGGGGGTATGTGTATTCACGAAAAATGATTGTAATTGACCCCCGCAACCGAAAATAATTTTTCTAGAACTATTTGAAAGTTTTCATTTTCGCCAAAAAATTTCAGTAGTACTACCCGCCGATTTTTCTTCAAAATTACTTTTCCATTTTTAATAAATTTGTTTGACGCTGTATAGAAATTTTGTCTAATACTTTTTTGTAGGTACCCTTGAGCTCTACGTGAAAAAAAATTTCACTAAAATATATTCACTATTGTAGGAGTCATGGTCGTTTGAAAATTGGACCACTTTTATGAGGTTTTTGTCACTTTACAAGGTCAAAGCACAACTTTTCCAATATTTTAAAAATTTCTACATATTCTACACCAAAATATGCGTTGTTTGCATTTTGAAACTTCAAAATCTTCCAATCCGTTCAGGAGTTATGATGTTTTAAAGGTTCGCATGAAAGGGGAACCATTTCTGGCCACACATTAGATTTTCAGTCAAGAATTTTTTTCTCGAAAATGCGTAGGCTTTCGGGGGTATGTGTATTCACGAAAAATGATTGTAATTCACCCTCGCAACTGAAAATAATTTTTTTAGAACGATTTGAAAAAATTTTTTTTTCGCCGAAAATTTCAGCATTTACCCGATTTTTTTCTCGAAAGTGGATAGAATTTCGGAGGTATGTGTATTCACCAAAAATTATTGTAATTGATCCCTGCAACCGAAAATCATTTTTCCAGAACGATTTGAAATTTTTGAATTTAATTGTTAATAACTTTTTAACGAAGCCTCAATCAACAAATTGGTATTCTTGATTTTTGTTTTATTTTAGTCTCTAGAATCTCCCATTAAAATTTTCCCTAGAGGTAGGCTGTATAAATAAGACCTCGAACTATGCAGTTAGTTGGATCAGGTGTCAGCTGACTCCGATTGCTGTACGTCGAAAGGTACGTTGGACCAATCGATCAATTACCTGTGCAAGTCTGGAGTGGGTCTGGCCACGGCTATGCTGCAACTCCGTCGTCTGGACGGGGTCGGTGATTTCGAGCCATCGACGGTGGCGTGACCTTGAGACCCCGTCAAGGAGGTGCGATGCAGACCAACTTCGACCTCGCTGCTCCGCCTCTGAAACGCTCTCTTGCTCCATCGTCTGCCCTTCGAGTCGGAGTTCGGGGTGTCCTGCTGTCTGAAAAGGCGACGAAATGACTTAGTGCGAAAAGCATAATAAATTGGTCCCTTATATCTCGTCGCGCTACCGGACAATTTTAACAAGGTGGGTCAAGTGCACGACGGAGTTCCCTTTTTTTTTCCTTTTCGATGGATCGGTGAATAGCTTACTCGACGGAATTTGCATCGAGATAACGTTCTTTTTCACCCCACGGCAGATAGTCGGACGATATAATAGATTTTCGACGTCCTTGGCTGCTCTAGCCTCCGGGCATTTCCCGATGCAAATTTAAATACCGGCCAATTTTAACGTTATCGTTCCCTTTTCGAAGGGAAAATTAAATAGGAGTAACTGTACGACTGTTTAGTATATTTTTTTTAAATATCCACGTACATATTGTTCTTCTACCAGAAGAAGGCACGTGTTTACATCCGCACTTTTGTGTTGCTGCCTCTTGTACAATTTCAAGGTATTGGTCACTGTGCCTTCTTTTCGAGGAAGAGCAGTACGCTTAACGCACAGCAATTTATTCGTGATGTTTCTTTGACCGAACAGTTAAATTTTGTTTTGTAATCAAACATTTTTTTTTATGTGTAACAATCTGTGAGAAATATACGTTTCTAGATCGATCGATGCACGATTGATATTATCGGGTATACTTGGCTCTACGTGTACCGCGCATGCGCGGACCAGTGCTTGGCAAAATGGCTGACGGAAGCGCGCGTGTTATCTCTCGTTCAAATATATGTTTGTTTATTCGTTATAAACTGATTCGTCATTTAATCACCGATTCCAAAATAATTGTGACACAATCGAATCACACAAATCTCATTCGGTTTCGTGGACTCAAACAAATAAATATGTTTAATCGAAATCCTTGGCCGAGTGAACTTGATTCGAATTAGGTCCTCGTCGAGTAGAGCTCGATAAGGATAGTTTCTCTGGCATCCTCGACGCTTATCTGTCGCGTATCGGGACAGTACGATGTTGCTTTGCATCGTAAACCCGAATCTAAGAGTCTTCCGCTCGAGATAGCTTCGTTCCGCATGAATGGCCACCGAGGACGCGTGTGTTGCACGTGTCCTCGCGCCTGCACGAATTCGGCTACAAGCTTGGATACGGGAAATGTGATTTCACGATAATGTTGTAACGTTCACCACGGTGCACGGACCCGTTCGCGAATCGCTGCGAGCGCTCCATTTGCAATTCGCCATTTCGCGCTGCCTGTCCCGTGGATTCAAGATGGCTGTTCTCAGCCCGCTATTCAAAACCAAACACAGGATGAATTTGGAAGCTGCTTCGAAACTTTGCTCGTAGTACACGCTGAAGTGAATAACATATGCACCCATGTATAGGTAGAAAGGTATCCATCAGTCTATTCGAAGAAGCTGTAGAGATTGTCTCCGAAAGGGTCTCCAGAATGTACGTTTCTCGAAACGATTGAATAAATTGTTGGTGTAACTAACGCAATATGTGAAAAAAATATCGAATGTAACTTTGGTACCTTTTCTCTTTGCGACATAGAACGGTATAGTAATTACTTTACCAATTTGTAGAGGACAGCAAATAGAATTTATTTCCTCTGAATTGCAGTGCTCAACAAATTACTACCTTCGAGACCCGGATCGAATCGTGTAATTTAATAAATTTGTATCCTTCGTTGACGCAAGATACAAACTCTACAGAAGTTATTTCCTATTATATTGTTCGTATAACTGAAAATAGTCCTCTAGGCATTCTCCGTTTGGTTCGTTGAATAACTTATTGCGAACTTTAAAAGTTTTGATCCACCTTTCACGAACACTCTGTGAACTACAATTTGTGAATTTCTTCCTTTGAACAGCCATTATTTTCCAGTCGAGATTTTACAAGCATTTGAATAAAAAATATAATTTAACAAAATGAAAATATTCGAAAGAAGAGCTATTGTTTCTTTTATATTAGAGAGAGTTAAATAAATAGAAAATTTAAAGGTACGAACTTGATTCTGATAGGGGTTATGAACAGACATCCAATTTACATGCACGCAAAGTTTCAAATCGATCGGTTTAGCAATTTCCGGGAATATCGTGTCGACAATTCTGATAAATACGGTTTTGAGAAAAAGGGACGATGAAACCTGTCAGACGAGGGGTTTAGTCAATCCGACAGGCTCTCGAAAATGTTTTCAAGTGTTTTGAGCGTCGAAAAAATTCAGCTATTATCTCTGACATCTTAAGAATGCGGTAAGTTGATAATTATTGTCAGATTGTTCGTTATTTAGTTGCGCGGTACGAATGTAAACATAGAAGAAAGGGATTTTTGCGCGTTGCAATTTACGACAAGCTTCACTCGAGTCAAATTTCAATCCGCCAATTTTATCCCGGGAAGTGTGGTGCATAGACTACTGAATATTCAGTGTGAGAAAGTTCATGATGGAGCCAAAGTCTAACAGCGCAGTCAAACCTTTTGGCTCCATTTATGCCCCGGAAAATGCATTAAATGGTAAAGTTGTACGTGCCATTTGCGTAATGGATTCAACTACTCCGTTAGAGGAAACTTAATTCCAGTCGTTGATTACAATTAAATCACAGTGATAAATTTGAATTTCAGCTGTACGATTATTTAAACGGTGGATAACAACTAGAAACGTTAAATTTAAATTCGACTAATGTTTGTGCACGATTATTGGAAACAGAACATAATTATTTCCGTTTTTAATAGACGATAGTGGGATCATTAATTCGCGTGAAATCAATGCGAGCAAATAAGTCGATCAATCGGTATTAACATATAATAGTTGGGTATCGTGCTGGTCGAAATTAATTTTCATTGAATGAACAGTAATACATAATATGTAAGATTATAAAGGAAAAACAAAATTAATTCTTTTTTTAACTTTAGACATATGTAACGCAATAATATGTTTTAATTCATTTATACCACTACATATTCTTATTTTTATCATTTTCTTCTATTTCACTATCGTTTGCTTCACTGGAACTATGTCACTATCAGAATCACTAGTACAACTATTTACAAAACAACCGTTATCACTTTCTGTATCAAAGTTAGTGCTAGTAAAGAGTGAAAATAAAATTTGTCATCGCTACTTATAATTTCACGGTAGACCTTATTCGGAGCTTTCTTTTTGCCATTTCGGAGTATTGTTTTTAAAATATTTTAAGAAGCGAAAATGTCTAATTACATTTAAACGCTATTTATGAAATATTATTTCGAATTCTGTGTATCTTCGAATCTTGTTGACTTAGCATAATATAAGATTAGTATGGTTCTTTGCTGTAGTGGCTGAGAGCAGACATACGACCGCAAAGGGTTAAAATGTTATTTTTAAACAGTCTATCGAAATAAAATAAATGTATTAATACGTTATTGGAAATCTCTTCTGTGCCGATTAAGAATACATATATTTTCCATTTGTTTGCTTCCTCTTTCAGCTTCGTTTATATTTAGATCATGTTCTAAAATCGAATACACGATAATTTTTCATCGTTATCGGAAGCAGAACTACAATTCTATAATTAAAATCCGACTATCATGTCTTCCGATAACGACGACGACGTGGAATAAAGGAAACATGATCCGAAGTCACGTTCCCGTAGGATCGGGGCTGATGAATCGGCTTTGAAACGCGCAATAATTTCTGGAACACCCTGATACGACTGCATTTAATTCGAAGAGACCGTCTATTCGTCGACGAAATCGTAATTCGAGCTCTAAACCGATTATAATCATGACCCGCGTAATAATGGCGACGTAATTACTCCTGAAGATTACGATTCGGTCGTTGGGATTGGTCGAACGAATAAAATCCGGATAATAGGTCATCGTTATTGGTTCTCTTTCTGAAGAAGACTCATTAAAACTGACGCGAAATTCCTGGGTCTTTCCAGAGTTGGAAAGATAACGCAAGCGAAGCGTGTAATTTTTACACGGAACCAGATTGAACTCGTAACGAACCTGCAATATATTTTTATCGATAATAAGCTAGAAATTCAAAACGAATATTCCCTTAAAGCAGACAATTTCGATCGATTATTTACTCTTTCCTTAATTTTTATTACCGTTGACACCGATAAGAATTATCTCATTAAATATAAATGATCGATCTCTATCTGTTTCTAATTTTATTAATAACATTTACGTAGACAGGGTGTTCGGCTACCACTGGGAAAAATTTTAATGGCATATTCTAGAGGCCAAAATAAGACGAAAACCAAGGATACTAATTTGTTGATTGAGACTTCGTTAAAAAGTTATTAAAAAATTAAATTAAAAAATTTAAAATCATTCTGAAAAAATTATTTTCGGTTATGGGGCTCAATTACAATCATTTCTGGTCAATAGACATACCCCTGAAATCCTACCCACTTTCGAGAAAAAAATTCGAATAGGTACTGAAATTTTTAGATAAAATTAAAAAATTTCAAATAATACTAAAAAAATTATATTTAATTACAGAGGTCAATTACAAGCATTCTCAGTGAATAGACATACCCCGAAATCCTACGCACTTTCGAGAAAAAAAAAATCTAATGAGAGGCCAGAAATGCTTCCCTGAAAATGCTAATGTTTAAACACCCATAACTCCTATAATAGTGAATATATATAATTGAAATTTTAGGAGGAAGTAGAGTTCATGGATACCTACAAAAAAGTATTAGACAACTTTTTTGTAGAGTCAAACAAAATTATTACAAATTTTTAAGAAAAATCTACAGGGTGTAAGTGCTGAAATTCGGCGAAAAACAAAAAATTTCAAATCGTTCTAAAAAATTATTTTCGTCTGCAGAGGTCAATTACAATCATTTTTGGTCAATAGACATACCCCCGACTTCCTATCCAGTTTCGAGAAAAAAATTCGAATAGATGTGGAATTTGTCGACAATATTAAAAAATTTCAAATCATTCTGGAAAAATTATTTTCTGTTGCGAGGGTCAATTGCAATAATTTTTGGTGAATAGACCTACCCCCGAAATCCTACCCAATTTTTAGAAAAAAATTCAGCACGGGTGGA